ACAAAATTTCTCTTGTCCATTGAAATAATGAGTCATGATTATTTGTTAGCGTTGGATAATGAAAAATAAGAATAGAAATTAAATAACATCATTCACAAAGAAAAAATATGCCAAACGGTCACAAGGAAGTATTTTTTTGAAAAAAAAAATTACCATGAATTCGCCAACACGTAGATCTTTTAAAAGTTATGTGAAATGAAAAAATCACTTAATTTGTATACCCGAGCCAAAAGTTATGGCATTCCTAAGTGTTAGGAATGTGACTTTCATACTCAAGGGGGGGGGGGGGTGAATTGAGTATTATAAAATTTTCGCAAAAGCCCCCTTCTAGTTTCTAAATAATTGTTTAAAGCAAACTTTGATATATGGAAAGCTAATCAATACATTCAGACAATCCATAGCATATAATACATCACAATTATAGAGCTTATGCTAGCACATACAAGATATCAAAGAAGCAATTAAAGTGCTAGAAATAAAGAGTTTAGAGTTTAGAGAATTGTTAACACAATATATCCTGGTTCGGTCACCACCACTTATGACCTACGTCCAGGCTGAAGCCGCTCGGTCAACTCTTTCACTAATGGTCAAGCTTCACTGGTGCTTAGAAAACCTTTATAATCTTCCAATACTTCGGGTTCTTGGATACCTTTCAATCTCCAAGTTTATGGGTACTTGGTCACCTTACAATTCACTCCAAATTTACTTAGGCATTCCCAATGACTCAAAAACATTTGAGCATTATCTCAACACACATTAAGCATACTTTGAGAGCTTCTACACTATCACTTGCATATTCTTTCATATCTTTCAAAGATCAAATATATTTGAGCTCATATCTTGAAAATCCATATACCCATAGTGCATATATAGTGTTTCCAAAAACTAGCCGTTTATAGCAGTTTGAAAACTAGTCGTTTATAGCCGTTGGGAAACTAGCCGTTTATAGCCGTTGGAAAACTAGCCGTTGGGATCTCATTTAAAAAATTAACCGTTGGGATCTCATTTGAAAAATTAGCCATTTTATAGCTGTTGGGATCTGTCGCAGTGGTAATTGATTCCCAACTTGACAGCAAAAACACTGTTTCATATTTTGGCTATAATTTGAGTTATACTTATCGAATTGATGTTATCTTGGTCTTGTTGGAAAGATAAAAGATAAGTCTACAACTTTTATGAAGAACACAAGATCCAAATCTATCATCTTAGATACGAAAAAGTGTATGGAAGACAGCAGCGAAATTAAGCAATAAATTTTAAGTTCAGATGTGTTTTAGCTTGCTTCCAACTACTTTTTGTGAAAGATCTTGACTTGATAAATATGTTTTGAAGTTATAAAATATGTCAAGGATCTTTTCTATGGATTTGAAAAACATGTTTGCAAAACATCTTGATTATGCAATTTGAAAAACATGTTTACTTTGAGAAAAACTTTGAGCTCATGTAATGCAATCTATCATATACCCTCACATATACTCTAAGTCCTAAAGATATATTCCAAAAATGATTTTAGACTTAGCTTTATGTATTGTGTCTTGGATCTTTTCTTGAACTTGATGCTTTGACTTGTTGGATATGACAATGCTTGACACTTTGTTGGTTTTGATCATTTTTCACCATGGTTATGATATTGTGCTTCTCTTAGATGTTGTACATGGTTAGTTGTCTTTGATCTTGTTATTGCTCTTCTAATTATTCCTTGTTGCTCTTGATCCAATGATCTTGCCACTTCGATATGACATCACTCTTCTTGTGTGGCTACATCATACATCTTCAATATCCACATATGGTTGATGTTTTTTTTTGCTCTTGATCAAATGATCTTGCCTTTTTGTTGTTGCCACTTTGTTATCATCAAAATATACATTGTATCTACACTAAGTTTTACGATAATGCAAAATTTTGTGCCACGTGTCATCTTGATGTGAGTTACGCCTAAATTTGGCCGCAATTGCACCCCTATCGCGCTCAAATTTAGGCGCGACCAATTGGGCGCATCTAGTTGCTACACATTTGTAAATAAGTTTCAAGTTGCTACAATTTCATAATTTTTTATTTAAATTATAATATTTAATGTTTTTTGCTTTTAGGCATGTAAATGGGCTAGGTCGGATCAGACTTTAACTTAAATAGGCCAAACCTATGTAAAATATTTTAAGTCTGACATAGTCTGTTAGCCTAGTGTAGGCCAAATTATAAGTTTAGCCTAGCCTATATTTAAAAATAAAAAGGAATAGTCTAGGTCTATTAGTATGTTTAAACCTATTAGACATTCAACAATTAAAACAATAATTAAAATAATATTATTTTATTTTTTAAAATTATTTGAATAATAATTATATTCATTTATTTAAAATAAAAATATAATATAGACTAGCTTATGTAGACTTATAGGCCAAGTCTTATTAAAAAAAGTTTATAGCCTATTTTTTAAATAGATTTTTTTTAATATTTGAGCCTGTTTTATTTTACTAAATATAAGAGACTAAACTTAACTTGAAGTAGATGAGGCCATATACCCCTAATAACCCATCTGACCCATTTATCCTCTACTTCCAAGTTTGTTATAACACAAACCTTAAATATTAAATAGGGGACACTGGCAAAGTGTCACTGTTGGCAAAAAAAAAACACCAAAATGACACGCCGATAGTAAATTTTGCCAAAATGTCACGTGGCATATTTCGCTACACTGTGTAGCGAAATACGTGTGCAAATATTTCGCTAAACGGTGTAGCGAAATATGCCACGTCAGAACCAAAAATGCCACGTGTCAGACAGGGAGAATTTCGCTACACAGTGTAGCGAAATTCTCCCTGTCTGACATGTGGCATTTTTGGTTCTGTGCATTCTGACGCGGCATATTTCGCTACACCGTGTAGCGAATTATTTGCACACATATTTCGCTACACAGTGTAGCGAAATATGCCACGTGGCATTTTGGCAAAATTTACTGTTGGCGTGGCATTTTGGTGTTTTTTTTTTCAACAATGGCACTTTGGCCACTGTTCCTATTAAATAGTAAGTCCAAAACTTTAAAATGGCGATTACAAAGTAACTATTTCCACCACCAATTTTATTTTTGCTTTGGTGGTGTCCTGTCTTAGTGACAGAGATGTCCAGCCTAATGAAATGGTATGCTAATTTTGGATTTAGTGCCCTCTCCAAGGTATCTATGAAAGAGATACTCTTAAGTCAAGCAGATCACTGTGCACAACGAACTAATAACGGCGTTAGTCAATTGGGTGTGTGTGGGCACAGTGACAACATAACAGTAAGAGAGAGAGAGCGTACTGTACCTTTAGGATTTACCTTGTATTTATAGAGATTACCTGTGGGTAGTATGATATAGGCCTTTTGTGCCTCTAATAAGGGCCAAAGCATGCTTGCTATGCTGTCGTATTAAGATTAGTATCCTTAATGGATACTATCCGTAATTATAATTGATTCAGATCTTGAATTGCCCCTTATTAAACCTGTCATTCAACGTACCCATTTTAGGAGTCCATAACATGTGGTAACATAACTCTTCTAAGTTCTAACTACAATTTAGGATTTTTGTTTTTAGTTACTGGAGAAGACAAAAATACGCTTACAACAATGAAGATTAAAAGATTACCATTAATTAACTAATAAAGACAAATTAATTCTCTTTGGGATATATTTTGTAATGAATAACCTTAGTAAAGATTGCCGGTTCAAACCTTGTTCATGACGGGGATAAACCTAGTATCCTAAAATGGGCACATTTCAAACAAAATGAAATTCAAAATTTGTCCTGGTAACCAAATTTGGAACCATTCTAACCATCCTTCATTCCAACTTGACGAAGCTGAAGTTTAAAAATTTGTATCTTTATTATATTAGAATATTTCTGTAAGAATTTAATACACTTCACCTCTAGCTATTCACTAAATTTCCATCAAAATAATTTATCATTTCCTTCGGTTGCAACTATTTCCTAGTTCAAAATGGTGTTGGTATTATATATAAATATTAATTATATTAAATAATATAATAACGACATATTTTTGACATTAAGGTTATATTTAAGCTAAGTCACTATGATTCTTTGTAAGTTTCATATTTTTTTTCTCTGATACAATATTGAAAATTGAACACATGCATAATCTAATACAAATTTCTCGAACCTCTTCATCACTAGATCAATCCTCATAGCTTTAAGTTTAATACTTTTGGTCAGGTTTTAATATTATTTTTGTAATAAGTGTGTATTTTGGGATAAAAATAATTTTTTTAAATATGCTTATGAAGAAATTCTAGGCAAATGATGACATCTATTTCTCCAACCAGTAAAATATTTATTGAATTGTTCCTTTGTCCAGTTTGGCACGAGCTTTACAAAATGAAGAGTAAAGATTTTTCTTTAATATATAAGGATTAGTTAACGTATATCCTTAAGATATAACTAAAAAACCAAAAACAAAATATTATTTCATGAAATATATAAGTATCTAAAAACTTCAGAAGAATTTAATATTTTTAAAAATAATTGATACAAAGTAATAGACGTTACTTTTATGGGAAAAATATTTCTGCAGTTAATCTGCATTTATTCCCAAAACGACGTCGTTTTGGTATTGAAATCTTAAAAAATTATAAATATAAAGACTATTATAACCCTGAAATAAATTAAAATTACAAAAATACCATAATTTCCGTCCTAAAACGACATCGTATTGGGCTTACTGCAGATAATTTATCTGCAGTAACTGCAGAAAAAACGAACCCTACTTTTATTCATAAGGTGTACCCTAATGACATGTGTTAACGAAACCATTCAATGAAAAATGAAAAAAAATTCAGCATGCAGTTTGGAATAAGGTGGGCCAGGCCAGAAAATTGTAAGCCCAAGCCCAAGTTATAATGATCTTCAATGTGAAAAAACGATGTCGTTTAAGTCTTCACCTTCGTCGTAGCAAAGAAAACACTCGATTCTCGTTATACCACACCTAAACCCCCAACAGCAAAGACGAAAAATGCAGCACAGATAATGAAGCCACAGAAACTTCGTTCTTTGGCACTCTCACGTGCGCTCTCACGTGCCCTATGCTCCGCCACCGCCACTACCACCTCAGCATCGCCGCAATGTGGAACGGCGTTCCCTCTGAAGACGGTGACCACCGCCAACTTCGAACCCTCCCTGGCGGAGCTCCGGCACCATGTCCGATCCTCGGACTTCGTAGCCATCGACCTTGAGATGACCGGCGTCACCAGCGCCCCCTGGCGCGAGTCCTTCGAGTTCGACCGCTCCGACGTCCGCTACCTCAAGGTCAGGGACTCCGCCGACAAGTTCGCCGTCGTCCAATTCGGAGTCTGCCCCTTCCGATGGGATCCTTCCAACCACTCCTTCATTGCTTATCCGTATGTCGTTTCTTTCTCTCAGTTTCCATAACTTATGATATCTGTTGTGTCATGTGTGATTGATTCTTGTGTGTTCCTCAATTTTTGGGGGAAAGTGAACTTAGATTGCATGGTAAATTGGTAATTAGATAGATAGTCTAGTTTCAGGAGTTTTTGTTTTTAACTGGAGTGAATGTTATTAGTGTTGGGTTAAATTTAATTTTTATGAAAAATTGAATGGTGTCCTTGGAAGCAATTTTAATACTGGATGGCGTTCTGAAACTGTTCAAGTAAATGTGGAAATGTTTGCCGTTGAAATGGGAGTGATTAGTGACAGCATTGAAATTTTTGTGCCGGTTTGATAATGCCACATGGTTTTTAGTTATCATGTTAGGTCTTTATAATATGTTATTTTATTGAGATTAATAAAATGGAAAACATATCTTGGATTCGTTCACGAGCTGGTTAGAATGGATTTTGTAAGTTTATTAGTATAATATTTCAACTTAGTTATAGAAAAAAGCCTCTCTTTTTTTTTTTTTTTTGTTATTAATAATTTAATATTACTTGTTATTTTTTGTAATTGATATGGAATTATGAGCATCCAAATTCAGTTTACCAGGACTTTTCTTTTCCTTTTTTTACTTTGATTTTTCTTCTTCTTTCTGCTTCAGAATTCCTTAACAATTTGGTTCTAATTAGTAATTACTATTGCTACTGGAAATGGTTTCTTTTTACCCTTCTACTTTTCCTTTATTTTCTTTAATCGTGCAATGAATGATCTGCTGCTGTTCTGATTTATGAAATTGCCCTTTTACAGGCACAATTTCTATGTTTTTCCTCGTCAGGAGCTTGCGGGTTTGGGTCCATGTCATGAATTTCTCTGCCAGACTACTTCAATGGATTTCTTGGCTAAATATCAGTTTGATTTTAATGCTTGCATACATGAAGGTTTCTTACTTTTCCTTATTTCCTGCCATTTCCTTTGGTATTAAGCCGATTAGCTAATTAGTTAAAGATAGGAGTTTATGCGCCAATATCTGCCATAAAAGTTCCTAGTCATAGTAACTGAGATTGGCTTACATGCTTTATTTCTATACATGGAAAAACGAAGATGTCGATGCTTCACTTATGGGTCTATTACTTAGATGCTTAGGTGATTTGATGGATAAGGGGTAATATACAAAGAGCTCTACATACGTAACTTTCAAGGATATACTCAAACCAGAAGGGCTCTATATACATGACTTTTAGGATTATAGGAAATTAGAAAATTATTTGGACATTAACGGCTCGCTTGGTGGATAGAATAGGATAAGGATGAATTGGATAAGAGGGCTGGATAAGAATATGAAAGGATAAGGTCTTGATAAGCTCATATCTTATTCCGTGTCTGATGTGAACTAGATAAGCAATCTAATATGATGGTGGTGGTCATGATGGTTGCAACGACGGTGGTGCTGGCTGGTGATGTTAGTTGGCCAATGGCGATGGGGGTGACTGGTGGTTGGTGGCAGCGATGGTGTTAGCTGGTGGCCTTGGTTGTGGCAGCGATGGTAGGATTGACTCTAATGTTCTTAGGGAAGCTTAAGGAGGCTTCAGGCTATTTTTGAAAGAAGAGTTTCCTATCCTGTCCTATAAAATCCTAACCCAAGGCCCCCCTTAGGATAATTTATTAGGTTGCGGACGAGATAAAGTGACCCAACAAAGGTTAAGCTTATCATATCCTATTGGCTCACCAATCAATGGATAACAAGAAGATAGGATAGTTTATCCTATCTCCACTATCCTGTCCATCAAACGGGTCTTTGATCTTTAACCAATAACCATAGTTTGAATTATGTCTATCACTGACTCATAGGATAGGCATTTGGTTGTATGTATAATTACATCATGAATTCTTTGATTTCTGTAATTTGAGAATTTTCACCCTTGGATAATGTCAGGAATATCTTATTTATCCAGAGAACAAGAAAGGGAAGCAATAAGGAGGTTGAATTCTACGTATGATAGTGAGTGGTCAGACATTTGTAAATTAAAAGATGTTAGGGAAATACCATTGGTCAGCATGGCAGACATTTTGTTCACTGAACGAATGAAAAACAAGTTTCGTGAGTGGCGTGATGGGTTATTACAGGAGCAAAATCAAGATGACCAAATTCAAGGAATTTCAAAAGACTCGAAACAACAATTTCAAGTGATTTTCTTTAAGATGCATCCAGCTCTTAGGCTTAATGGATTCACCTCTCATCAGCTTAAATTGATTCAGTTGGTAATGTTGTTATATCTTGTCCCCTCAGTTGATACGTTCACATTTTGTTTCTTGTATTGCTATTTTTATTGTGTCATCTATAAATGCCCTTTGGTTAAATACTTGTAGTGTTGTACATATATTAAGTTTGTGCAGTGGCTGACTTTCGCTGATTACAAGTTCAAAAAAATTCAGGTCATCAGAAAGCACTTCAAAGATCTTTCATATGTTAGCGTGAACAGTGAAGCATCTGGTTCACAAGAAATAGTTGTATATACAGACTCAAAGGATGAACTTAACTTACTTCTGGTAATAAACCTTGTTATTATGTTTCCTATGAAATTGTGATGTGTGTTCTATATTGCCAATGGTTTTTGGAATATAATTGCTCCTCCTGCTCTTTTGAAATGATGATGGAGGGGTTAACCCACTGAATCTTTTGATTACCACTAAAAATGAAAATTTGAATGGACCTTATGTTGTCCTTTATTTCTAGTTTAGAATCTTTAGATGGCTAAGCATTTTCTGGAAACAGAGCTTAAACCTAAGCATCTTAGGTATGAACCAAGCACAATGGTGCTGAAAATGAGAAAGCTAAAATCAAGTGGTGAACTGAGTTTTATTTACAGCAGCTTATAAAATTCTTAAAAAAATGTTCTTTAATCTCTTGCAGAAGGAGGTGAAAGAGGAAAATTACAGGGCAGCAGAGTTAAAGATCCAATCTGCAGTGGGATTTCGCCATGTTATTGATCTCCTTTCATCAGAACAAAAGTTGATAGTTGGTCACAATTGTTTTCTGGGTATTAATGTCATTCTGAATCCTTAACAAGCTATTAAATTTTATAAGACATTCTGATGATATATATATCATTCCACGATGCAGATATTGCTCATGTCTACAGCAAATTTATAGGTCCTCTTCCAGGGACTCCTGAAGAGTTTGTCACCTCCGTTAACAAGTGCTTTCCACACATTGTTGACACCAAAATACTCTTGAACACTAATTATACCCTCCAAGAAAGGATGAAAAGGTCGAGAAAATCACTGGCCTCTGCATTTGCTTTGTTTTGTCCACAAATTGCTGCAGGCTCCAGAAGCACTGATCTAGATTCGCTCTCACATGTGAAAGTGGACGTTGAAGTTGGTGATTTGAGGTTTGTCTCTACAATCTTCTATAAATCCTGATCTGGTAATATGTTATTTAAGTTTACCAGTCTAGTGATTATAGAAGATGGTGTTATCTTATCTGCATAATTCAAGGCTTTTATTTTAATGCATATTAAAGGGGATGCCAAATCAGTGACTCACGAGTTTATGACAGCAGAATTTATGTTTCAACTATTTGTTTGCATGTGATCGAAGTTATACATTCTTCCAACAGTTTTCATACATGACACAGTTCTCTCCTTTTCTTTTCTTCCTTTTTCTTTTTTTTCTGATATCAATCCCAGTAATGCAAAGTTTATAGATATACCAGTATACACATCTTCCCGCCTCTTTTATTTGAATAAGATGTACAATGGTGGGTAACATTTTTTGTTTCTTGTGTGGCTTTTTGTTGTCTACATATCAACATATAGATTGCAGTGATTTCTTCAGAATTTTCTAAAAAGAAATAGTGTCTTCAATTTCGTATGTTGTTCAAGCTGTCTTTTTAGATGTATCTTTTGTAACAACATAAGATGTATATTTGCAGGTCATCCAGCTGGAACCCTGGAGGCAAGCATGAGGCAGGATATGATGCTTTCATGACCGGAAGCATCTTTGCCCAGTTATGTAGTGATTTAGGAGTTGATTTTAAACTCCATGAATCTTCAAAACAGTTAGCCCTCAATGAGAAACTACAGAAGTACATTAATCATCTATATCTTAGTTGGATGCATGGGGACATTATTGATCTAAATACTGGTGATAAGGTTGCAGATTCTTCACCGAGCTATAGCCTCAAGAGGCGGTACCCTAAAATTTTGTTTGAGAACATTGTTATTATTTGGGGATTTCCTTCTAAGCTGAAGGCAAGCGAAGTAAGACAGTGTATATCTAAAGTTTTTGGTCCAACTTCTGTAGTTACTGTCTACCACTTGGATGCAACTGCAGTGTTCGTTCAGTTTAGCAAGACTGAACTAGTTTCCGAGTTTCTTTTATTGAAGGACACCTTAGAGAGAAGTGATGGTCCAATCTTGGTTTTGCATCCGCTGGCAAAACTTTTGGAAGGTGGAAATACATGTGCTGCTAATTATGATACTTATAAAAAAATATGTTGTTCGCCCTTATCAGAATGTCTATTTGCTGATCAGGCAAAGGCAGTTGGAATAAGATGGAAGACTAAATTGATAGAATACAAGGTAACATTGGGGAGCGAAGAACACGAAAATCCCAGTGTAGAAGGTAATGTAATTTCAGCAATGAAGTTCGTAGAAAAGACCAAGCCAAACACAATTGATCGGTTAAGAAATGTTCCACCTCGTGGGAAAATGTCATGTTTTGAGATTGAAGATTCTTATTGTACTGCAGAAGCCAACTTGTGATTATTGACTAATGATTTTGTATACTGTTAGCATGAACACACAATATCATATTAAGTTAAATTTTTTACAAAGCAACCTATATTTTGGGGTGGTGTTGTATGAATTTAGAAACTGTAGCAACCAGAGATGCATAGGGATATTATGATGAAAATGACACCACTTATAAATTTTCGGGCGGGATAGCAATTTTTAAATTTTCTACATATGTAAAAATCTACACATTACCCCATTAAATTTATCTCTCTGTTGTGTAACATAAACAAATTTCTTTAAAAATATTTTCTATCATTGTGTCATTATTTTATAGTCATCTTTCAATTCGGTTAACATTTGGCGTATTATCCTTGGTTATGTCATAAATTTGACTCCAACCAATACTACGGTTACTCATAGACTCTTCACTTAAAACGATAGAGAATTTGGGAAGTAACAGGTTCGAAACTAGTTGAGTCATTTATTGCCATTAATCAAAGGTCGGTTTGTTTGTTAATGGTGATTTTCTATTGATAGGTTATTGATTGTAACATATTCTAAGTTTATAATAGAACAATATACCTTAAGCCTTTATCGGAAGAAAAAATAAAAGTTTATTGTAACCCATAATAGTTTCCTTAAGTGAGAATTAATATTTAATACCTTGTTCATATTTGAGAAAGTAAAAAAAGTAACTGAGTTTCCCATCTCTCCTTCCATCTAAGAAAACGACATGTGAAGCTAATAGAAAGTGCATTACAGATAGATTGACAAGGGCTTCATTCCAAATTAAATGCATTGGCAAAGACTATATATCTTGAAATGGGAGTAGTGCTGGATACCAATTGTGCATGTCCACAACGTGTCATGGAAAATGATCTCTTCTCTGATCTCAAAACCGAGAAGTCAGAACTAAACGAATGCTATATGAATAATAGTCTCAGTGAAATTAATATGAAACGCCAAAAGTGCATGCATTGCATAGCAGGTCCTTAATATGATGTGTTACCACTTGTTACGATTGCAGTCCCTTTATGGCTCCATTTGCATTTGCTGCTACAGATCATATGCTGATTCTGTAGCTCATTTAAGAGCTACATCCTATGATTCCTATCCTACTTCTACCAATATTATCCTATCCATGGTAGTTAAAATTGGGATTTAAATCTTAAAATTCCGATTTTAACGATTTATTTTTGCTAAAACGATTTAGATTTCACTTAAAATCCTTTCCAATATAAAATCTCGATTTAGACATTTACTTAAGTCCGATTTTAAGATTAAATTCCGAGCAAGTTAGAAAAATTGTTGAATATAACATTGCTGATGTTTTATCCGAAGATGAATGGATTGTGGAAAATGAAGAAACTTTATCTCATGATGAAAGTTTAGATGAAGACAATTTTGAATGATGTAGTTGAAGATCACGTGGAACAGAATGTCTTCGAAGATAATAACTTGAATGATTTATTAGCTTAGACCCTTAGAGTGTGACAATTGTATACAAATGTATGAGGATGGTGGCAGGTAGTCTATTTTTCTTAATTTTTTTTATACATAAGCATATGTATATAAAAATTTAATTTTAGAGTGCAGGTAAAATCTACGATTTTTATTACGATTTTATGATTTACGATTTTTTATTTCCTTTTCGATTTTAAGTAAAATCCTGATTTTGACTACCTAGATCCTATCGGTTTCATCAATTAAAAATAAGGCGTAGAATGCAATTAATTCAGTTTTTAAAAAAATTATAAATAACTATAATGAACATATAAAGAATTATTTTCTTATTTTTATATTAATAATACACTAAATTTAAATTTATTTCATTGTATAAAATATATCTTGCAATTTAAAAGATTAAATTGATTTTTCATCTGAAAAGATTAATATTATTTCATTAGGACTGTGAAAAACTTTGTTGCTTCATGAATTATAGAAAAAGATATATAAATAACAAAAGAATTACGCATGTTAGATCAAAAGTATTAACTAACAAGTGAGCATTCTATTTTCTATCTCCTTCAACCATTCACAGAATACTTCTCATATCTGGATTACTTGTTTGTTTCCCCTAAAGAGTGCCTAATCTGACAATATATACCCCAATTTCTTTCTCCAAGTTCAAAATTCCTCTCAAGACACTGAAAAAAAATAATCATTCCTTCCTTAAATTTTTTTTATACATTAATTTTTTTTTTTAACTATTTAGTTTATTTTTATTTTAAAAAATAATTATCCTATTTTGATTTAATATTAGTTATGTTTTGTAATATCGAGGAATATAGATACTTATATAAAATGTCAAATATTACCACAATTATATAAAATTTAAAATCAAAATTTTAATTTCTCTTTTTTTCTTTTCTAATGAGGCTAAATTGACTAGGTGATATTGAAGGACTTTATTGATAGTAATACAAATAGTAATTATATTTAATATGTTCACTTCATCACTTGTATTACCGACACCAGTCACACCACTACCAGTTAACATATAATAAGAAGTTAAAACGACTTCAAATAATTTATCATTTTTCTATTTATCTTTAAATTTTAAAATCATTAAACTATATTTCCATTTCTTTTTATAACTTTTTTCAAAATATTAAATTAGTAATTAATAATAATAACTAGAATTGGATAGCAAAGTTGGGAATTATTTTTTTACGGTCAAATATATGAATAAAGTACATATGAATACAGTACAAAGTTGGGAATCTCTTTTAATTAGTTCACATTAATATAGATATAGATGTCACAAATATAAAAATTTGATATAATAAAAACTTACATACCCTTTGCATGATTAGTTTTATCTCAATTCATACAAAATGCTTTACAATTCTTATATAAAGTTATTTGTGTAAGAACCCGCACCGTTAATTAAAGAAATTAATCAGTTAATTATGAGTTTAATGAGATAATTCTATAATTGACCCTAATAATTATTATGAGGCTCTAATAAATATAGTAAGTGAGTAATAATGCTAAAAGTCACTTTTCCGATGAAAAGTGCAGATACGGTTCTGCTAGTCGATATAAATGTGTACCGAAAAAGTATCCCAGAAAATTATAGTAAGTGCATGATAATTCCTAGAATAATATATAGGACTTGTAAAACGAGTTTCAAGTTAATATAATGAGAACTGGTGCCAGAAACTGATACTGGCTATGAAAAGCGCATACCAGAAAAGTGCTCCGAAAAATATAAGAAAAATATGTTAATTCTTGTAAAATTGAGTAGGTTAAGCATCCTAAGTTTGGGATTAAAATGCTAAGCGTAACTATTTTTGCTAATACCGTGTGGTTTGAGTTAATGAGGCTATATATAGGACTTTTGCACAAAACCCTAGGTCATGTGTGATGTGCCTACGTGAGTTTTCTGGTCTTATGCTGCTGCCACCCTCCATTCCATTGTTCCATTGCTTCCTCATCCTTTTGGTGTGCATTATGACCTCTTCTCCTCCATTTCTCTTCACTAGATACCTTGTGTGAGTGGGAGAGATCCTTGTGAGTGTGAAAGGAGACCTTTTCTGGGTATACCAGCTGCTGTGTGAGGAGGATTTATGCTGAGTTTTGAGTGTTTGGGTGGGTGAGGCCATTGTCATGGCATTTTTGGCTCCAAGGAGCTAACTTGGTAAAGAAAGGACCTTGCTTGATCTGTATTTTCGTGGCTCTTTTGTGTTTGAACCATTGAGCCTTGTTGTAAGCTCCAAGGAGGAGCCTTGTTTCTGAATTTTCGGAGTTGAGGTATACCATGAGCTTAACCTTTGCCTTATTGATGTCTAAGCTTGTTTAATCCATTAAAAAGAGGAACTTTAACCATTTGAGTAAAGGAATGTGTTTTTGGGTTCATAACATGTTGGTGGTTATCTGTTTAGGGAGTCATTGGACTCCCAATCGCTTTTGGATCCTTAAATTTGGCATTATGCAGAAGTTGGCACGAATTTCTGTATTCTGTTGGAGAAGTATTCGAATACTTTCCGTGTAGTATTCGAATACTTGTCCTTGGTAATCGAATACTCCTTGCAGAAGTATTGGAATACTTTTCTGGGAAGAAAAGTATTCGAATACCTTTGAAGAAGTATTCGAATACTGGAAGGTATTCAAATACAATGAGGTTTGGTATTCGGATACTGAGGTATTCAGATACTGGGGGGAAAGTATTCGGATACTTATAAGTATTCGAATACTACTCGTGGAGTATTCGAATACTTCCTGCAGAAACAACATGTAATGAGTTAAAATGAGTAACAAAAACGTAATCACTTGTGTAATCTGAGCTATGATTATTGATGATTAATTATGGTATGGGTATAATAGCCCTAACCTAATTAATTAGCAAATTACATGTAATTAAATAATTAAGCATGTTTTAGTGAGTAAAATTAAGTATAAGGCTTAATGAAATGAATCTGAGTCACTTTGAAGTTAAAAAGTGTACTCAGTGAAAATTAAGGGGTATAAATGGGTACTGGCGAAAGTGCCCAAAATATAAAATAAAATTATAAATATCCTTAGAATAATATTCCAGACTTTTGGGTAAAGTTTGGTAATTAATGGAGTTGAATAGATAGACGAACCAATACCCGCCTAAAGTCACTTAACCTATGTTAAGTGACTAAAGAACAATAAGAACCCCAAACCCCCCAGAAACCCGTCGACAGAAACAGAGGGAAAGAAGAGAGGAAGAAGAGAGAAAGGAAGGAGAAGAGGGAGAGGGAACCTAGAGATTGCAAATCCCAACCGTTTTGGGTGATTCAAAAGCCTAAACTACTCTAAATCTTCCCCTCTTTCATAATCCTAGCTTAGTTCTTAGTGGGGAGCTTTGTGGAGAGAGATATTGGCTCTCAAAAATTCGGCCCTTTGTGAAAATTGGGGTTTTGAGGGCTTCAACCTCCATGGGAGCTTGAGGAACGCTTCTTGCTTGGTTGTGCAACCATTGGTGGTAAGATTCTACCCCTTGAACCATGTTTTCTTGGAAATTTCATGATATAGGGTTTTGAATGAATAGTGTTATGGGTTTTGTGAGAATTTGAGTAAATTGGCTATGTTGTGGTAGAATTGAGACTTAGCACATGTTGAGAAAAATGCTAGGAATGTCATTTAATCGGTAAAAATGAGCCTAGTTAGTTAAATGACTATACTTGGTATATTGCAAGATTATCATGCTTGTTGAAGAGTTTTCTTGCAATTATGATCAATGGGTTGGCTTGGTTGATTGATGATTGGATCCTTGTGATGTCTAGGATTGAGACATTTGGACCAACCATGAGTGATCAACCATTGGAGCAAACTATGGAGCTTGATTAGCTCCTTGGAATAGGTAAGCTCTTGCTAAGTTGGGATGTAGAGTTGTTGTGGTATTAATGAGTATATATGAATATTCATTGTATAGTATGGAACTGTGGGGTGGAGAGATGTTATTGCACTTTGCATAGATATGTATTTACTGCATTATTATTGTTATTGCTATTACACTGATATGGAACTGTGGGGTGGAGAGATGCTCCAAGGACCCCTGGTTTACTGGATATATTCGTATATCTCACCCTGTGTTGTGGGTACCCCCTTTCAGGTAAGGATGCTGCAGGAGCCACCAGTGGCAAGTGGCCATATTTGGATTAGCATATGCATGAGGATCCTATATTTTGATATTATACATGTTATTTTGTAGCTCACATGTATAGGATTGTAATTCATAGACCATTGATAGATGTATGATTTGTATATTGGAATGGATTTAGCCTATGCTCATGCCTTTGGTCATCTCTTTTGTTGATGGGAGCCAAGGGAATGATCATAGTATTTTGTAAGCTAAGTTCCATGAATTGTAATGAACATGATTTGTAATTGATGAGTACTTTAAGTTTAATATATGTATGTTCATTAAGTATTGAATTGTTGAACTGGAAACTAAATTAGGTACCTAGTGCTAAATTGGGAAATGTTGAGAAAACAAATACATCCTGTCCGTTTGACCAATTTTCATACCCAATGTGATGGAATTGGACTTTTATGTCTCTATGGAAGTTGTAGACATTTCTCTTAGCTTTCCATAGAGACCAAAATGGTGTAATTTGAGTGAGTATAGCTCAAGTTATGAGTGGAAAACCATAGGTAGGTTAAATGACCTTGTTTTGGGTCACCCAGACCTGTGGATGGCGCCTGAGGCGCCAGATTCACGCTTGGGGCGCCAAATTATGAGATCAGACAGTAGCATCCACGCTTGGGGCGCCACTCCCACGCTTGGGGCGTCAACTTTCTGTTTTCCGACGCTCTGGGCGTGGATCTCACGCTACGGGCGCGGGGGTTCTGGAGGTTTCACACCCTTTTCTTAGAAAATGCATAACTTTGGCTACGGTGCTCCGATTTGAGCGCGGTTTGAACCCACGCGTAGCTAATGAAGAATCCTATAACATAGTAGAAGATGGGAATCATAAAAGGAGTTTAAAATTAATTTTATAATTAAAGTGATGAAGACATTTAACGACGTATTGTCAAGTAGAATGAGAATATCATATTAAGTTTAGTCCCACTATTCCGCGAAGTATATATAGTTATGATCACGCACTTGGTTATTTACATCCGGCTTGTTTAAAAAGGAAAAATTTATCCGGTTTTCTAATTGAACCAATGTGATTGTAACTGCGCTTAATGTCGTACGCAATAATAACAATCCGGTTCTAGAACGGGGTGTTACAATGGGCAGATTGTGATTTTGTTGTTTGTGGGCCTTGAGCTTGTGTGAACTCTTGGCATTGGATAGTTAGCTTGCAAGGGAAGATTTCGTGTCCTCGATTTAGCCATTGTGTAGTTCCACCGTGCCGCATGGGGAATGGTTATATGCATGTTGTGTTACATGCTTTGATATATTTGGAATGCTGTTGAGCTTTACGTATAATGGCTTTTAATATGCATGTGTTGTTCCATCTTGACGGAAAGCCTGAGTATGTGGCGTCATACAAGACGGAGATCCGGGGTGGATGCAAGTAGCGTCTTGCACTATGTGTGGGTATTTGGCGTATATAAATCCTGCATTTCTCTGGCCAGTAGAATAGTATTGACACACATGACATGATTATCTGCTGCATTGCACTGTTTTAGAAATGATATTGATGAACTGTTTTTGAACTTATATTGCACATGTAAGTGAGCTTGGGGTGAAAGATCCTTGAGGACCCCTTGCCTTACTGAGATTTCTTGTTTAGAGATCTCACCCCACGTTTGGGAATGCTTATTTCAGGTTCAGGTAGTATGGGGACTGATGCCTCTGGCGGCAGGAGGCCAGAGCTTAGTTGATATTTAGTGCTGTTCATATTATGCTGGCATGACTGGATTGGATGTTGTTTACGTTTTCTGTCATTTATGATTATTGAGTTGAGACTTATGATAAGCTTTGTTGCCTTATTTGGGTGAGCATGGGAGTTGTCCATACCACTATGTTGTTGGTACTTTTGAGTTGAGTTGTATAAACTGCTAGTTGGTCCGGTTTACGTGTGGTAGTTCCGTGACTAGAGACATACTTATGTTAATTAATTGATGAGGTATTCCAGTTAGTTGTTTATTGCAATGTACATACAGGCAATGTTTTGAAAATGATTAAGTAATCAAGTTGGTAATGGTTAATGACAGCATAATTGAAAAGAAAAAGATATTCCGCAATTTTAATTAAGCGCAGCTTAATACGATAACATGATAACATTACCGGATATATACGGGGTGTTACAATTTGCAATTTGATAACTCTACACATAAATTACAATTCTCTCTAAAAATTGATTCTTTTGCCTTACCTAGGGGTGAAAGTGGGCTGGGCTGGGCCAAGCTTTGCCCTGAAAAGTCCAAGCCTACGTCAAAAAATTTCAATTTGGCCTAGCCCAAGCCTAGTACGAGTCTAACTGTTAGCCTGACTTGGCCCGTTTATTAAAAAACAAATGGTCTGGCCCAGCCCGTTAGCCTGTTAATTTTTAACTTTCAAGCAGAACCATGAATCAACTTTACAAAATACTCAAATTTTGTTGCTAAACCAAAAATCATAATTTCAACGTCCAAACAGAATCATGAATCACAACAAAACTCATACAATCTGCATTTAAGTCACTTTCAAAAGCAAAATGCTCAAACTAAATAACATATTTCATCAGATCCAACAAACAAATCCATACTATGTAAATTAAAATAACTACTTGAATTCAACAAACACATCATGATGCTTGTAGTAAGTATAACTTCTCCAAAAAACCTTTTAATATATTTATATACACAATCTAACATGTTGGTTCCTACTACATAAGAAATAAAGTCAGATTTCTATTAAAATATAATCGAATATAATTAAGTTGTAAATAATTACAATTGATTAAATTTATATCTTTTATTTTTTTCAAGACATACTTATTCTATTTTACTTTATTTAAAATAAATAAAATAATATAGGCCGGCCTGTAGGCTTATAAGCCAGGCCTTGTGAAAGTGGACCTACGGCCTTTTTATTAAACAAGCTTTTTCAAGGCCCAAGCCCGGCCTATTTTACGAAATATATTAGATCAGGACTGGCCTGACGTAGGCCGAGCCGTAGGCCCATGTAGGCTGGCCCGACCCAGTTTCACCCCTAGCCTTACCCACAGAGTTATAGTCCAATCCAAGGAAGCACAGACACTTGTAAATACAGGAAGAGTCGTGTCCGACACGCTCCGACACGGCGACACGCTCCGACACAGTGTCGGACACGCGATCAACTTTTTCTGACACGTTGACCATTTCAACACGCGAATTTGACCGTGTCCGACACGGTCAAATGGCATTTTCATAATTTTTTTTTTAAATTTTTTTTTTAAAAAAATTAAAATATATTAATAAAGCTTCCACTTGATCATATCAATTTTATTTTTTTGTCTTTTTTTCCCTTAAGTAGATAAGAGATCATCTCAGCATCATTGTTGTCAATTCCTATTACGCTCTTGTTGTATCTCCTTCTCTCTGATCTTTCTCTAATATGATTTGATCTCTCTATCTGATATTATATATCTCTCTCATCCCAGTTCTAATTTTTTTTATTAAAGCTTCCATCTTTATAACGTGTTGATGGGTATTATTAATTTAGTTTCATTTTTTTGTTAAATTATTAAATATTAAATGAAATATACACTATATAAATTAAAAAAACTATTCAATATTAAATCGTGTCCCAACGTGTCGAAATCTATAATTTTTTAGAATTGACGTGTCGGAGTGTCGTGTCGTGTCGTGTCGTGTCGCGTGTCGCGTGTCGTATCGGTGGTACATAGGTCCAATCTTATTACTCATATTTAAATGTTTTTTTGGGATTATTTCATTTTGATTTGTATAGATGCATGAAAGGACAAAATTGCGATACCACTGGCAAGATTTATTTTCTTTTCTTTAGTTAAAGCAATTTTATTCACATTAATTGCTACAAGATTAATTTCTCAGACATTCCAATAATTATCTTCCTTAATATCTGAATGTTTTTTTTTCCCATTAAAAATAAAATTCACTTATCAATGTACTGGACCGACCTTGTTATAATTGAGTTTACAATAAAGAAGATATAATACCATTGTGCCGTTTCTATATGCATACATAGAAATTAGAAATGGTGAAAGTGAAGAGGACCACTTCATACAAACCTCCTCAACCGGTGAGCCAATCAATGACCTTGATGTGTGTATAAGAACCACTTTCTAGTTTGTTCTATTCCATTTAGATAGAGTTTTTTGTTTATACGTTTTTCTCTCCTCTTTTTCTCTAAAACCTTCATCTTCTTCCTTTCCCCGTTATATATTTCATCTTCTTAGGTAAAAGCTTTTGCATTATAAATTCTCATTTCCTCCTCTTTTAGACCTTATTTCCTTGGTTCATTCTCTTCAACCCCATCTATTTTTATAATTCTTCTTTACTAGAATCGTACATGATTTACAGAAAGAGAGAAGCGTTGATGGAAGTGGCTGATTTTGGGAGGAGAGACATGAGTATACAGGTGAGTTTATGCTTAATTATTACTTCTTGTTAAAGAGAAAAATATCTACCTTGCATTTTTTAATAACCAGCTTCCAACATCTATATGTGCATACTTATTTTTTTATCTCTTTATATGTGTGTTGCGTATTTTATATTCATAAATATGACTCATATAGTAAGTGATAATTTTCTTCAGTGGATGGCCAAAGAGCTAATTGAATCTTAGATGTTTATAATCGTTATGGAAGATTGCATCAGCACTCAACAATTACATTTTTATTATAAGTTAAGCAGTTTGATTAAGGATGCATATGTTGATTGGCCAGTTTATTTAGATAAATCAAGAAGGAGATTTCAATTACTGTTGAGATATTATGATTTATGAACACCCATCAAGGCAATTTCATTACAAGTTCCGGTCCTTGAAAACCTTAACATGAGTAAAATGCAAAAAAATAAAAATAAAAAAATCCCTCCAATTATATATGCGTTATGTGCAAAAAATTCCAATATTGTTGATTTGAAAATTATCAACGAGTTTGTGTAATTTTTTTATGTGAGTTTCACTTGCTTGAAAGAAAGAAAGTCACAGAATTCTCAAATATCATCTATTCCCTATAATAACAGGGAATTAATTCTAAATCTACATCATAAGAGTTGCGTTGCCTATCCCATATATAAATTTATGGATGACTAAACTATGACAAATGCCATGAGATTATATGTCATGAATTTATTTACTTTGCATTATGATGTTTGTAAATTTTGGAGTAATTAATATAACGTAAAATATCATCTATTTTTTTTAAGTTTTATTAAACACATACACATGATATAAATGATAAGTAATGCTGCTTACATATATATATCATGGGAATGCATTATTTACATGGTTTTTATTGATGATGGACAGTGATATAACAAACAGTGTAGAAGAAAGCATGTCATGAATGGTGTAATGGATGATTTAGTTGGGAAGTGTGATGAGACATTTCATGTTGACAGAAGAGAGAGAGCACAACCCGGGAATGGCCAAAGAAAGTCTTTGCCTTTGTTGGGAGTGTGCTTTCTCTTCTTCTGTCATCATCACATTAACTTTCCATTACTCTTAGCTTTGGCTATATATGTTATACATGCAGCACTATGCCACTATTGCATACCAATCAAGGTAATGTTTTAAGCTTTTCTATACTGCATGTGGATTGGTTATATCTGTCGTTTTTTTCCTATTCAAATGGTATCATATTTCATATATGATTTTGTTGTAGACATCCCTATATTAAGACCTAATAACAAATAGTAAATATATATTCAAAAAATTATAATTTCATAAATGTAATGTGTAACTTTATTTATAATTCTTAGATATATATATACTCAGAAGGTGTCACTTAGCTTAATTGCTAAACTCAATTGTCGGTGAATATAAGAACTTAGGATCAAATATTGTCTTTCATGTAATCTTTTTTTCTTTTTTTAAAATAAATTGAAGTTTCTATGTAACTTAAAATTAAATGTAGTCTAGCTATAGAGAATTGAATGCAAATTAACATGCTCATGAAGAAAGAAAGCATATATTACCGGAAAAATGGTATCATGATGATGGTCTAGCTGATGAGCCAATGAAGATGAATATACACCACAAATCTAATATCCTAATGGTCTATATCCAATAGGAAGAAAATGGATTCTGTTCTGTCATTGCTATTTGAATCTTTCCTAATTGGTTCAACTCTAGAAAATGACTTGTTACTTTTTTGTCCCATATATTCGTTGTTTCATGGTGCTCGTCACATCTCTGGTTTTGTATATAGCATGCTTTTTTACAACATTGCATATGTGCCCTACTATGTTGGTAGAAAAACCAACACGTTTATGACTCAAGTTATGGACCACTTATATATATATATAAGGAGACATAATATATGGTATCAAACATTGCGTAATGCTGTTAAATTTTATGCTCTTGTTTCGACACAATCACCTCAAACTTCAATACAGTTCTGAATTCACCTAAAGAATCCTTCTATTGCTCTTGAAGGGCATCAGTTACACGTGATACCACCTTAGGAGAAGCTGCAAATCTATGTACCTAACATAAAGGCTCACATTCTATAAGGTTAAAGAAGGACCAATAACTCAGAAGGATATTAAGGAAAATTAAAGAAATGTTCCTTAATACTAATCATAATACGACAATAATAGATCAAGATTGGTCCCTCAAAAGTTCACCGGAGGTCCAAAATTTCATTATCCACAGGTAAATTCTATAAATAAAAAATAAAGCCTACATGTAATGACACTCTTTCTCTATATTTGCTATCACTATACACACACATCACCCCTTTGGTTACATCGTTATTCTCTTGTACACACTGATCTATTATAAATACCTGAGAGAGTTCTTAGATCCAAGATAAACTCACAAGTCTTTAACTAGATATCTCTATCCCCATAATAGAACAAGTTACATAGAGTCATCAAAATGAGTCTACTAACACAACATCAAATTTAAGACATTTTTTTTCCCTCATACCCTAATAGTCTCACACTGTTTTGCAAAATAAGTAATATAAAAATGTATGGAAAGTGTTTTAAACTCAACAAATTAAACAAGTTGAAAATAAGCTTGTCTAAATAAAAGAATATCAATCCATAAAACAAATTAAGATTTCCATTTTATAAGTTGATCCATATGTTTAGATTTAATACTTATATCATAAAAATTGAATTTTTATATCTTATGATTTATTTATTACTATCGTTCTTGATGTTTAAAAGTGCCAACAAAACAATGTAGAGTCAGGATAGGTTTGTTGAATTAGTAGCCCATTAACATGGGTTATAGATGAGCTTTTTCTTAAGCCCGGGATAGTTGGGCTCTAGTCTTTAAAGCTTTGATTCACTTTATAACATCTTAGAAAAACTAAAAGTTTATTGTAACCCATAATAATTTCCTGAAGTGAGAATAAATACATAGTTCATATTTGAGAAATAATAAAGGGAAATGTATATATTATGTAACAAGAGTAAAAGTTATTTTTCCTGCACAAACAAAAATACATGGGATCCACAATTTTTTCTTTTCTCTTTCCTCAACTCACTTTCTCTACCTTCTTTTATGTTTGTGTAGGACTGAACAGTGCTTTTTATGTAACATTATACATGTATAACCCAATAATAAAAGTAACTCAGTTTCCCCTAAAGAGTGCCTAATCTGGCATTATAAGCCCCCAATCAATGTTGTGAAAATTGGACCGGACCGATCGGGTTGATTTGTAACCCTGTGAACCGGTCATCTGACCGTTCTGGTTATCACATTGGATCAGTCAAGTATCAGATCCAGTATGACCCGGTGTGACCTGGTCGGTTTTGGTGAAAAATCGATGACTTGGCCAGTTAACCGGTGACCGGCACGGGTTTTAAAAAAAAATTATTTAAAAAAAAAAAAGTTTTCAAAAATAAATAAATCATAATTGACATATTTGAGTGATATATTACTTATTGACTTACATAAGTTATGTACCTACAATACTAATATTATCTCAGTTATGCACTATGCAGAGAATTTTGATTTGATAGTTAGAGATGTCGTTTAGCGAACCTGAAACACCAATATAACAAGCATTATGTGTTTGTTTGATCCTTTATTGGACAATAATGTATAATTTATTATTTTTTATATTAAAATATCTAGAATTTATATTATTTTTTTAGCTAATTGAGTATATTTATAATTTTTTTAATATAAATTATAGATTTATAAATAATTACCGGGTCATGCAGTTGAATCAGTGACCCACTGATTGAACCAGTGACCCGATATTTCGACCGGGTCATTGATCGGGCCGGTTTTAATAACATTGCCTCCAACTTCTTTCTCCGAGTTCAAAATTCCTCTCAAGACATTGAAAAAATATATATTCCTTCCTTAAAATTTTCCTTTTAAGTATTTAGTTTAAATAAAATAATTATCCTATTTTGATATAATATTAGTTATGTCTTATAAGACATAACTAATATAATATTTATATAAAATGACAAATTTTACCATAAGAATTTAAAAATTTAAAATCAAAATTTTAATTGTTTTTTTCTAATTAGACTAAGAGCTTGTTTGGTCCCTTTTTTTAAAGATAAAAGTTATTTTTTAAAAAATAAAAATAAATAGCTTAAAGAATAAAACTAAAAGCTATTTGATAATTGTAAAAGTGTTTTTTAGAGTTTTGAAGGAAAAAAGATAAAATGTTGGTTATTAGTGTAAAATATAACGGTAAATAATAAAATTCATAAATAAAAAGTTAGAATAAATAATTATGATTGAAAAATAAATATGAAAATTTCATAAAGGTGAAATACATCTTAAAAAAAAGCTTGCAAGATTTGTAGATGCTGTAAGGACAAAATTGTGATACCACTTGCAAGATTTATTTTCTTTTCTTTAGTTAAAGTATTTTTATTGACATTAATTACAACAAGATTAATTTCTTAGACATTCCATTAATTATCTTAATGTTAATATTCCCATTAAAATAAAGTTCACTATATAAGAAAAAATTTTATTTGTGACGAAAAGATTTCGTCATAAATTTTGTCATAAACGACAATTTTCGACACAAATAATCAAATTTCGTCACAAATAAACTTGTCACGTAAAAATTTGTGACGAAATTTACTTGTGAGGTAGGCATTTGTAACGAAATTTCATAAAATTTCGTCACTAATAAATTTTTTTCTTCGAGTTATCCATACACTGGTGGACCGACCTTGTTATAATTTAGTTTACAATGAAGAAAATATATACAAATACCATTAAACCGTGTGCATATGCATACATAGAAATTAGAAACGGTGAAAGTGAAGAGGACCACTTCATACAAACCTCCTAACAGGTGAGCCAATCAATGACCTTGATATGTCTGCATAAGAACCACTTTCTACTTTGTTCCATTCCATTTAGATAGAGTTTTTTGTTTATGCGTTTTTCTCTCCTCTCTTTCTGTAAAACCTTCACCTTCATCTTCATCTATGTAGCATCGATACCGACACGCGACACGTGACACGATACGATACGACACTCCAACACGTTAATTCTAAAAAATGTTAGATTTCAATACATTAAGACACGTTTTGATATTAAATAATATTTTTAATTTATGTAGTGTATATTATATTTAATATTCAATAATTTAACAAAAAAATGAAGTTAAACTTATAATACCCATCAATTTTGCAAAGAAACATAAGATATCCCAAGTATTTATATTAAACTCAATAAAATATAATCGTAATCCAATTGAATCTAATAGTTTGGACTAAAAACGTAACACAATGCAACTTTTGAACCATTTTTTGAGTTTCTATAACGCGTGTTGGAGAGTGTCGGGAATGGTAGAACACGACACGTCAGAGTTTTTGAAGTGTCGGTGCTTCATAGACCTTCATCCCTTCCCCAATATATATTATATGAATTTATTAATTATACTATATTATATTCATTTCCACCTTTGTATGGTTATGATTTTTCATATTTAATGTTTTTACACTATATATAAAACGACGTAGTTTCATATGATTGCACCAATGCTTAGGTGCAGTCACTGTACATCCTAAAAATCCTATATATATATATATATGGAAAAATTATTTCTTCAGTCGATTTACGTACAGTAACGACAGGTATATGATTATGATTCTTCACATTTAATAATTTCACTTATATATATGACAAGTATTTGACTGTTGCACGTACAACAGTTGTAGAAATATAAACACCATATATATATATATATATATATATATATATATATATATATATATATATATATATATTCTCTTTTATACTTTATTTTCATGGTTCATTCTTCAACCACATCTTTTTATATTTTGTTTTTTTTTTATCCTTCTTTACTAGAATCATGCATGCTTTGTAGAAAGAGAGAAACGTTGATGGAAGTGGCTGATTTTGGGAGGAGAGAAATGAGTATACAGGTGAGTTTATGCTTGATTATTAATTCTTATTAAAGAGCAAAGTATCTACATAACCAGCTTCCGACATCTATATGTGCATTTTTTTTATCTCTTTATATGTGTGTTGTGTATTTTATAACCATGCATCATCCATTTTTTTTTTTTTTGAAGTTTTATTAAACACATACACATAATATAAATGATAAGTAACGCTGCTTAGTGCTTACACATATATATATGACTGGAATTAAGATTTGGTGTGGTCAAAAATTATAATTAACTATGTATTATGGATAACACGTAGTTTAATATTAAAGTTGTATTTTTTTTCTCTCTTCAGAAATTTAACTATGTACTACGGGTAATACAGAGTTATAATATTAAAGCTATTTTTTTTTCTATTCTCATTAACTTTTCAGACAATTGTCGAGTAACATAGGAGAGAGAAAATAAATAACTTTAATATTATAACTATATATTACCTGTAATACATAGTTAAATTTATGAAAATAGAGAAAAAATACAACTTTAATATTATAACTATGTGCTATTCGTAAAATATAGTTATATTTTTTTGTTCGCACCAAACCTTAGATCTAATCGCATGACAAATCATTTTACCACACATATATATATATATATATATATATATATATATATATATATATATATATATATATATATATATATATGATGGAAATGCGTCGTTTTTATTGATGATGGACAGTGATATAACAAACTGTGGAGGAAAGCATGTCAAGAAGGGTTTAATGGATGGTTTAGTTGGGAAAGACATCTCATGTTGACAGAAGAGAGAGAGCACAACCCGTGAATGGCCAAAGAGGCTTTCTTAGTGTGCTCTCTATTCTTCTGTCAATATCATCACATTAACTTGCCATATACTCTGTAGCTTTGGCTATATGTGATACATGTAGCACTATGCCACTATCTCATACCAATTTAAGGTAATGTTTTAAGCTTTTGTATACTGCATGTAGATTGGTTATATCTGTCGTTTTTTGCTATTCAAATGGTATCATATTTCAAATATGATTTTGTTGTAGACATCCCTATATTAAACCTAATAACAAATAGTAAATATGTATTCAAAAAATTATAATTTCATAAATGTAATGTGTAACTTTATTTATAATTCTTAGATATATACTCAGAAGGTGTCAAATTAGCTTAATTAGTAAACTTATTTGTTGACGAATATAAGACCTTAATTAGGATAAAATCTTGTAATCACCGTAAATGTTCCAGGATAACAGTTATACGTAAAAAAAATTTACAAATACGTTTTGGTTTTTAAGGTAAAATATATTAATTTGTCTCTTTTCATGTAATTTTTTTTTAATAATTTGAAGTTTCTATGTAACTTAAAGTCAAATCTAGTCTAGCTAGAGAGAATTGAATGCAAACATGCTTACGAAGAAAGAAAGCATATATATATATATATTAATATATTATCATGATGATGGTCTAGCTGATGAGCGAAATAAAACCAACAAATCTAATACCCTAATGGTCTATCCAATAGGAAGAAAATGGGTTCTGTTGCGTCATAGCTATTTGAACTTTCCTAATTGGTTCAACTTTAGATAATGACTTGTTACTTTTTTGTCCCATATATATTCTTTGTTTCATGGTGCTCGTCACATCTCTGGTTTTGCATATAGCATGCATTTTTCAAACATTGCATATGTGCCCTAATATGTTGGTGGAAAAACCAACACATATATGACTCAAGTTATGGACCACTTATATTTAAAAGGAGACAGAATATATGGTATCAAACATTGCGTAATGTTGTTAAATTTTATGCTCTTGTTTCGACACAATCATCTCAAACCTCATGTCAAACATTGCGTATCAAACAATAGTTCTGAATTCATCTAGAGTATTCTTCTGTTGCTCTTGAAGGGTATCAATCACACATGTGATGCCACGTTAGGAGAAGCTGCAAATCACTTACATATTGAGTCATCCAAATGAGTTGAAAATGTAAAGAAAGTGTTTTAAACTCAACTAGTTAAACAAGTTGAAAATAAGCTTGTCTAAATAAAAGAATATCAATCCATAAAAAAAAAATTAAATTTCAGTTTTATTGTTTGACCTATTTTTTTAGATTTAATACATATATCATAAAAATTGAATTTTAATTTCTTATGATTTATTTATTATTATCCTCGTTGATGTTTAAAAGTGCCAACAAAACAATGTAGAGTCAGGATAAGTTTGTTGAATTGGTAGCCCATTAACATGGGTAATAGATGAGCTTTTTCTTAAGCCCGTGATAGTTGGGCTCTAGTCTTTAAAGCTTTGATTCACTTTATAATATTCATCCACCACACCATAAATATTTTGATCAAAAAACATAACACGAGGTTTTGGAATTTTATTCTTTTGCGGGTGATGCAATTTAAAGAGAAAATTATAAAATTATAAAAATTAGAGTTAACAATCAACAGAGTGAATTTTGATAAATTCGTAGTTTGTTATAGGTGTACGTATTTCTTATTACAATCTTAACAGTTAATTTTTAATCAACGGTTAATAGTCTATTGTACCCCTTAATTTAAAAGAAATTAGTTGCTGTTTTCTTTTATTTTGGATTTTTTTACCAGTTTCATTGATTATTCAATTAATTTGATTCAAGTTAGAAAGGACAACCAAATTTTTAAATAAATTTATGAGTTTGACATTGAATATTGCTTGCAGGTCTAATTATTAACGGCAAATAAAAAATAATTGAGTTTAATATTGTTTATAATTTATTAAATATGATGCGTTATTATATTTTCTTTTCATCATGTGAAGGCAGTTGATGGAATAAGATATATTGTTATATATTTTAGGGGAATGATATACTTACCAGTTTTTTTTTTTTCATTTTTTGGTATGCGATATACTTACCAGTTACCACCACTAAAGTTCACCACTCTTACAACTAACTTAATCATCGTTAATTTCCGTTAATCTAACGATTATAATTTAGTAAAAATTATTGGGTTTCTTTTATTAATTAATTATTAATTTACAACAAATTATAAGTGTGACACCCTCCCCTGTATGCATCTAGGAGAGTTGTCTGCTAAGCGGATTAGAGTCCAAATGTTGTTACTAAAATACTGAAAACTCATTTTTAAGTTACTAATTAAACACTTAAGTTGAAATCTGGTTGTTCATGAAAATCAGAGTGGACTTTTAAAAATATATAGCTTGCTGAAATTATTTATTTTCCTGACAGACCTTGCTGTCTTGCAAAAATCATGAAAAATCAAGTTTTCAAAATTCCATTATAACGTTTACATAATCTGAAACTAAACACGTAGGGCTTCGCGCACATATAATTTATAAGCAATTCGGAGGTCTGTAGCCCCACTAAATATAACTCGCAAAGAGCTCGCAAAAACAGTTTATAAAGCTGTGTTCAAAACGTTAAGAAATAGTTTTCGCAAAACGTTTTCAGAATTTTCCCAAGGTGCTAACCGATTATAAAAAGTCTCAAAACAGTAATTAAAACATACTTCCAACAGTAATCCAAACTTCCCAAAATATTACAATAATACAGTCATCCAGCAGACAAACAGTTCACAACAGAAAAGTCCAAACAACAGCAATTAACAGCAATTATTCATATAACCACGTCCTCATATGCTCTTTCGTCCTCTTGCAATTTTATAAAATTTGCATCTCCAAAAAGGTGAGAAAAATCTCAGTAGTGTGATAGCAAAACCAATAATGCAACAATATTAAACTAGGCACCAAATTATAAAACAGTCACATCAACATTTCATTTTCCGGAGAAGTATTAACATATCATAGTGCGTATATAACGCCATCATTACGCTCATAGCACCGTCGTGCGCATACTGACATACACAGTGGATATTCCATAATGGCTCCTCAAAGGTGAATTCCAACTGTGGCCTATGCGGACGGAAGCCAAGTGTCCCATACCCTGGTACCGGAAGGATGTCTATATGATGCGTGCTCAATCATATGCTTACTTATATTATATACTTTGGTTTCTAAATTGGATGCACAATGCTGTATGCTATGAAATGCTTCTCACTCACAAAGAAACATATGAACATGATGTGCATATGCATGACTAAATCATCACCATCATAATAGCATATCTTTCATGTATTTTCAATACTAAGCTGCTGCACAGCAATTACTTCTCATAACAGAATTTTCATCTTGTCACATTCATAGGCAGCACACATATAGCATATAACAGCACATTAATCCAAGGCACATGTGAGCAACAATTCACAATTCTATACGCTAGTTAATAGTCACATTAGGTAATGCCACCAGACACTTACCTCGTGTGCCACAAATTATTAATCAAACAGCAGCAATAATCAGTCCACACTCAAGGGTTATGCGCACCTAGACAAGAATATAATCTGTCAGAATTATACGGCACATAAATTCCCCTATGCAGCATATGTTTTCACTCCTTTTTACTCTTAGCTCCCAATCGGGTGACAGGGTCTTTTTCTAATAACTTTTCTGACTTCAAATATATATATTATCCACTTGTTAACCGTGACAAAGCCCTAGGTTTCTCAAGTCACCAATTCGGATTTTATACACAAGGTCTCATGATTTTTATTCATATATTTTCCACTTTCCCAGGCCTATTGTGCGCTAAGGGGAACATACATCATGCTGCCCTATTAATTTAATTCGAGCAAAACTTGATACAACAACATATACCAACTATACCAAATCAGAATTCTAAATAATCTTTTCTATAATTCACAAACAATTTCTATGCCACCTAACTCTTGTTTAGCATCGGTTTTCATGATTCTCAAAATAAATAAATTTTCTGACTTTCTATTAATTTTTCTAACTTGTATCGATAACAAATCCAAGGTTCTTCCACTTAATTAATTTTTTTGGTTCAATGTTATATTTCAAAAGGTTCTCAAATGTCAAACAACTTTTTAATATGCTGACTTTGTTCATTATCACATGTAAGACTTAATTAATCTTCTTAAGCCTGAAACAGTTCCGAACTCGAAACGAATTATACTCCAATGTTCACACAAACCAGTTTTCAGACTTGCAAGCATTATTATTGCGGCTATTTTAATGAGCAGAAAACGAAGGAAGACATGACAAAGAAAAGGAATCTTCTTCCCATCATACTTAAACATAACGAAACAGAAACGATGAAAGGAGAAAGCTTGAGGTTAGCTTACCTCTTCTTGCAGGCGCACAACCAGTCCCAAATCGGTCAAGGAGCAGTCCTTGCCCTCCCTCTTATTCCACAGAACCGCGTCCAACTGCATGCAGTGGGAGGAACTCAAACATACCGAAAAGAATGGGGAAAAATGCCGCACCTCCCTGTTTGCAGGTCCACAGCCGAACGCGAGCAGGAGGAGAAAGCATGTTGGGGTGAAGTCACATATTGTATGAAAGGGAAGGGAGAGCTCGATCATAACCAGACCATACACATGCAATGGGAAGGAACTCCACCCAGAATTGGTTCAAGTAGGAATGAGCCAGAATACACGAAAGGTACCTCACCTTCTTGATGATTGGCCTTCGGCTGGGCACAAGAGAAGCAAAAAGGCCATGAGGAGACTTTGGATTTCGAGCTGCATGCAGAGAGGTCTCCCTCAAATCGCCTAAGGCAAGGACGAACAAGGAAGACCACCAAAGAATGTCTCCACCTCCTTGAGGTGAAATTTCTGGTCTTAGGGGTTCACGGTTGATGGGGAGGATGAGAAGGAAGGGCATGCAGTCAACACTTGAGGTGTTCTTCTTGATAGTTTACGGTTTGGGGGAGAAATGGTTGGCTGAGTTTCTGATTCTTTTGTTCCTAGCTGTGCGCATAGATGGTAGAGAGGATAATGGATTACTTATCATTCTGAATCAAAGACTAATATTTCAGTTTGTTCTTCTCTCATAAGCGCGCTAGATGAAGTAGTGCGGATGATTGAATGAGGTTTTATTCAACCAATAGAAGCGCATGCATTCTGAATTCTTCGAGTAGTTAAGAGATAAGGATTATTCATAGATCAATTGTAAGAGGACTTCGGCTGATTGGAGCCTCCCTCAAAGGTATTTGGGCCGTAGCCCATTAAGGCAAGATGGTCTAACTTTAACTCCTAATGGATCATAATTTTT